CGTGACTATTTTACTCAATAGAAACAATTGTATTTAATACAGAGGTTTTGAACAGTAGTGAACTACAACAACAAAGATTTTTTAATATTTTAATTACTCGCTGACCACTCAACAATTTCAAGTATTATTAAATATTCATCATCAGTCTTAGAATTATTTCGACTTCAAAGTACCAAGGGTTAAACTCGTGCCCTGCCAAATTTGAAGCTTAGAGTCAGTGTTCATTAGCCAACTGACCTCAAAAGCGTACTTGACTTGTATGTTCGAGTTTGAAGTTTTGAACATAGATGTCAAATGTACACTGACCCAGAGCTTTAAATTTGGCAGTGTACAAGTTCAAGGTACTTACAGTTTTAAATAAATAATAAACGAATATAAGGAATAATTTTAAGACCACGGCTGATGGGTCTTTGGCAATACTCGTAATAGTTGTATGGTCAGCTAAGAAATAATTAAAATATTAAAAATTGGAATATGGAATAAACAATTCCATAAGCAAATTCCGTACAATATTCCCTCGAACTACAGAAATATATATTGTATATAAATTTTAATTGATTGTTTATTAGAATAACAAATTTATGTTCAAATATAATTGAATTAAATAATTAATAAATGCTTTAAGTAAATATAAAATCAATGAACAATCAAAACAAAAAAAAATTCGCTTCAAATTTATTAATAAAAAACATAAACATTTAAGGCAGTTAATATTCCCACACAATTTAAATTGGCATTAACAAATAAACGCATGAAAACATCAACAAAATAACATCAACGAAATGCAATAATAAAATAATTAAATTAAAATTATTTAAGCAAACAAAAGACATAAATAACAAAATTATGACGTTGAATGTGTTGCATTAATCAATCAAACTGTTGTTTTGACAAATTTGCATATAAAAAAGACAAGACCAAAAAAATTTGTTTTGTTAAAAAATAATAAAAATAATAAAAAATTCATTAAGAATTTCATAAAAATTTAAAAAAGCAACAAATGTCAAAAAATTGTTTATGGTTGCTGCTGTGGCGCACTTTTATTCAATTTGCATAAAATTATGTGCGTTTTTTTTTCAAAAACTAAAATAAATTTTATTTCTTCGTTTTAGCGTTTTTTCGTTTCTGATACGAAAATTTTGCATTTGAAATTGCTGTGCAATAACTGAAATTGCTTAAAATAATTTAAATTATATGCCATTTGCATATCAAATAACAAAGAAATCATTTTTTCAAAGTCAAAGCCAGAAATGATTTCCATTTATTTCCATTGAAGAAAGGAAGTTCAACAGGGAAAATATTAAAATAAATTATAAATTTTTTTTAACTGTAGTATCATTAGTCCTTTCCTGCTTTATTGTTTATTTCCTACTTTCAATTACAAACCATTTCTCAAACCCCTTACAGGTAAAGGAGGGAAAAGACATTGTAAATAAATAAAAAAAATATAAGAGATAATATAAATTTTATTTCAATGCGAGTTTTTTTTATATATATTTAATGGATCTCCTTTTAAGTACTTCAATAATCTTATGTCATTTTATTTATTAATTATTTACACAAATATATTTAAAAACAAAAAAAATATTTATAGTGACATTTCTTACTTTTTTGTAAGAGGGTTTTTCTTCCATTTGACATTGTTTTAACATATTTTAAATAATAAGACCTATAATTGGGAGATCTGCGCCACTAAATACAGTGCTACTTAATAACACTCTTAAAATAAGAATAATAGCACTAAAAAGAAATTATATATACAAAAAGATTATATTTAGAAAACGTCTAAATAAAAATGTTGGGTGTTAAAAAGAAATTATTATCTCTGGTAAAAATGTAAATAGTCTGTTGGGTTAAAGAACTTTTGATGTGTGCTAATGTGAGCTTATCCTGTTCTCTCGACATTATTTAAAATCAGTTTACGTGGAGTGGTTGTTATTCCCTGTTTAAAAGAGGATATATGGAAAATATTATAGTTTTCTTTTTATATTGGCTGATTGCAGAAGCAATAATGAATATTATTAAAAATTTTCTTATATTGGTTGGTTCCTTACTGGCAATATATTCTATATTGATAATATCATAACTACAGATACCTGCCTTTATTATTGATTGTCAGCTATAATCTTTGTACCTGATTTATCGAGACCATAATTGAGCTCATTAGTGATGTGAAAACCACATATATCAACGTTTTTTAATTTATAGATAGATTCAATTCTTTGAAGACTGGGTCTGTAAAAGTTTCTCATATGCTAGATCCACTTCTAGCTAGTTTCATCGACCGTTATTTGCAGGTTTTTAAATTCAACAACTTTTGTAGCCACATTCAGTGATATGAAAACTAGTTTTGTTAAAGTTTTTGTATTTTAACAGCTGTTTCAGCCAGATTTATTGAAAGAGGTCGGCTCTCTAACCAATTTCAACGACTAAGGATTTTGTAAACAATTCATATTCAATATTCTAAGACTGATACAATCTAATGTAAAGTGGATATCTTGAAAATGAAAAAAAAAGTAGGTTCTATTAAGGACCCATTATAAGCAATTGTACTGCCGAAAAAAAGCAATATGTAGTGGAATGATTGAAAGAAAACGGTACGTGGTAAAATAAACTTTTTCGCAAATAATATTTGTAAATTAATAAGATATGGATATTAAAAAAGAAATTAATAAATTTAATCAAAAACTCTGTTAAATTAAGTGTAATTTTAAAACAGCCGAACTTATAAACCCATTCAAATAGTGTTAAGGTAGAAATTAAGTAATAAATAAATTATTTCACATTGTTAAATTGTGTCATTCAATTTATATTTTAAGCAATTTAGCAATTGTGAAATAATTTATTTTGAATATTTATGTTAAGCTGAGGCAACAACTTAACTGGAGCAACGGTGAAATATGCAACATTGCATTTTGCATTATTAACAGTGTTCCAATTAATTTGTTGCTGAGGTATAATTATTATTAATAAAATTATTGCACAAAAATTGTATAAAAGAAATTGAAACAATAAAGAAAGTAATCAATCAATAAAAACTATTCTTTGATTCCCGTCAAACCTAATTCTGCTTTATATAGAGTAAGTTTCAAGTGCTTACTCTATAACCAATAAGCAATATTCAATAAGTTAAAGTGCTTATTGAATATCATAAGAATTAAGGATTTCAAATATACATAAAATTTTGGTGACCCCGACGTGATCGACGTAGATCAAGGACGTAAATCAAGGACGTGACCAAAGATCACGATCACATACTACTTCATTAAGGCGTCGAAGCAAGAGCACAACAGTGTGAGCTTCAAGCAGATAAAAGGCAAAAGCACAACAAGTGTGAGCTTTCAATAAAACAGCAAGAGCACAACAGTGTGAGCTGCGAACACATTACAAGCACCAAGGTACCTGATTTGCTGGAAACAAATATGGAAACTTTTGAGGGGTTAATTCTCGAACAGCAACAACTGGGTCAATTAATCCAGAAATTGATTTCGAATTTCAAAAAGGATCCAAAAGAAAGGAAATTGAATAAAGCTTACTTTGAAGAACGTAAAAGGCGTTTAACTAATATATGGTCTGAATTTGAAGAAAATGACAACCGTATCAGAGAGTTGTCAGATGTCGAAACCACTCATGAATATTTTACTAATGAGGATTATTTAAAAACTAAAGACTTAGCAGAATGTTACATTGCTCGATTCACTCAGCAACTACAGGAGTTCAGTGATGAAGCAAATCTCAGCAAGAAGTCGCAAGTATCTAAACAAACAGAAATTTCATGTCTCATTAACAAGCAAATGGGAATGAAAATATCATTAAAACGACTATTGGAGAAGGTCCAAGGAGATTTGGGATCAAACACGTTTACTGCGTTGGAAATATACAAAATAAAAATCAACAAGTTGTGGCAAGAAATTGAGGAACTCAATTTTAATATATGGGAAATCGCTAGTGACCCACTATCAATTGGTTACAATATAGACGATTATCAACAATTAGAGTAATTAATACAACAAACTTTGATTTCAATTTCTGAGCTGATAATAACAAAACAACCACATGTAGTTACAACAGAGGTAACTAACAATCCAATCCAATTACCGAAGGTGTCTATACCGCGATTTGACGGAGATTATCTTAAATGGACACAATTTTATGATATGTTCTCTCAAATGGTAGACAACCAATTACTACCCAAGGTACAAAAGATGTGGTTTTTAAAAAATAATTTATCAGGAGAAGCAGAGAGGCTCATCAGACATCTGCCAACTACCAATGATAGTTACGACGTAGCATGGAAGATACTTCAGGAGAGATACAGGAATAAGAGGATATTAACAACCATGTTAATACAACGGCTGCTCGGACAACCTCAAAGCTCTGGCACTGCAATGTCTCTAAAGTCACTACATGATGTCATACATGAATGTTTGTTGGCATTAAATAACTTAAATGTTCAAACAGTTCATTGGGATCCACTCCTCCTTCATTTATTAACAAAGAAGCTGGATGCAACTACACATACGTTGTATGAGCAATCATTGGCAAGGCCAAAGGAATTACAATCAATGACAGGGTTTCTAAGTTTCATTGAAACACGTTTTCAAACTCTGGAAGCAATCGGCCAAAAGAGTACTACCAATAATAACGTAAAGGTATGTAATACCGCAACAATCAACAAATCAACCAGGCAATCATGCATATATTGTAAGCAAGATTTACATCAAATATACCAATGCAAAGGGTTCTTACAAGCAAATACTTTTGAACGACTACAATTTGTTAAAAAACAAAACTTATGTCGTAACTGTTTGCGACCAGGTCATATAGCATACAACTGTAAATCAGGCAATTGTATCAAATGTAATCAAAAACACAACTCTTTACTACATGTAAACTCATGGGTTAATGGCACTGAAAAACATACAACAATACCAAAGTCTAACAATACTCAACGCAATGTAAGCACAGGTTTAAGCGTTGATCATCAAGCATCATTAACTATTGCAAGAAAGCACAATGAACAGCAATATGTATTCTTAGGAACAGCAACTATAAGATTATTGGCACATAACGGCCAAGAAATTCAATGTAGAGCATTATTAGACTCAGGTTCTCAAGTTAATTTAATGACCGAGAGGGTAGCTCATCGACTAGGAATAACTCCAAAAGCAACATCAATGCGTATAAATGGAGTTGGTAACACCACAAAGGGTGCTCGTCAAAGAATCAGCACTGTCTTTAAATCAATGAATAGCAATTTCAATACAAATTTAGAAGCATTTGTGTTACCACATATTATTGCTCCACAACCAACACAATGTGTCAATATCAGTTCATGGAACATTCCAAAAAATATTACATTAGCTGATCCTAACTTCAATGAGCCACAAAAAATAGACGTATTATTAGGAGCTGAATTTTATCCACATCTCTTAACGTCAGGGCAAATCCAATTGGGAGTCGACAAACCAATACTCCAGAATACTACTCTTGGATGGGTTGTAAGTGGCAAACTATCAGAAACAGCAAAAGGTGACGCAGTCTGTTGTATGTTTAGCGAAGAAGAAGATTCGCTAAATAATCTTCTCGTCCGATTTTGGGATCTTGAAGAATCAGCACAAAATTCAAAACTACTGTCTGATCAAGAAAAATTATGTGAAACTCATTTTGTGGAAAACTTGAAACGTACTAAAGAAGGCAGATTTATTGTGAAATTGCCACTTATTGACAGTGTATCAACATTAGGATCCTCTAGTGAAATTGCACAACGCAGATTTTTCTCTCTTGAACGACGGCTGTCAAAAAATGAAGCTTTAAGGGCACAATACGTGCAGTTTATGACTGAGTATAAAGATCTCGGTCACATGGAAGAAATTCAACCTGATGACATCATGGCCTCACATTATTTCATTCCTCATCATTGCGTGATAAAACCAGATAGCACCACGACAAAATTACGTGTTGTGTTTGATGCATCTAGTAAAACTTCATCAGGTCGATCATTAAATGACATTATGCATACTGGTCCTGTGGTACAGAGCGATCTATTCTCAATATTATTACGATTCAGAATTCCAAGATACGCTTTCACAACGGACATTGAGAAAATGTATAGGCAAATACTTATTCACCCAGAAGATCAAATGCTACAATTAATCATTTGGAGAAATAGTCCACAAGAGCCGCTACGATTTTATAAACTAAAAACTGTGACATATGGGACTCGATCAGCTCCATACTTAGCTACCAAATGTTTACAAACTTTAGCAAGAGAAAGTTCTGGTACTTATCCATTTGGAGCAGAGACCCTACGAAGAGATTTCTATGTCGATGATGGATTATGTGGTTCTAACAGTCTGATAGAGGCTAAGGTGATTCAAGAACAACTAATTAACATTTTGAAATCATATGGTTTTAAGCCAAGAAAATGGTGCGCTAATCACCCACAATTACTACAAAACATTTCACCACATGATCAAGAAGTCTGTTGGGATATTTCTACTTGTTCGTTCAAAACAGCTAAGACTTTGGGAATGATTTGGACACCACAGCTTGATAATTTGTGCATAACAACAAGTATAACACCATGTACAACTTTTACTAAGCGTTCAGTAGCTTCAGACTTAGCAAGAGTTTATGACCCATTGGGATTGGTAGCACCAATCATAGTCACAGCAAAAATATTTGTTCAACGAATTTGGGAATTAAAGACGACCTGGGATGATCCGTTACCTCATGAATATGAAGCCGAATGGGTTAAGTTTCGGTCAAGACTGCAAGAAATTAATAATATGATCATTCCGAGACATGTTTTTAACCATGAAATTCCATTAGATATTCAATTACATTGTTTTGTAGATGCATCTGAAAAGGCATATGGAGCAGCAATCTATGTAAGAGCAATTCTAAAAACAGGTACAATCATAGTACGGCTACTTTGCTCAAAATCAAGAGTAGCGCCATTAAAAAGGCAAACAATTCCACGATTAGAATTGTGTGCAGCACTTCTGGGAGCCCAACTGTTAGCGAAGGTTAAACAAGATCTTGCATACGATAACCACAAATCTTTTTTATGGACAGACTCACAAGTTGTATTATACTGGATCAACTCTAACTCAAATATTTTTCAAACATTTGTAGCACATAGAGTAGCACGAATTCATGAAATATCTAATGCAAGCCAATGGCGTCATGTAAGGTCCAAATTAAATCCAGCAGATCACCTATCAAGGGGTTTACAACCTACGGAATTACATTCCAGTCACATATGGTTTTTTGGACCAC